CTTTATACCCACCTCTAAATGATGTATCCAAGTGTATATATTGTGGGGCCTCGTCTACAAGTGCTTGGCGTATCATGGCGAATGTTGGCTCTTGACAACTTTAATTCTATAATGGTGAGGATGATGGGTGGGTTGGGTGGGTTGGGTGGGTGGGAGGGTGGGTGGGTGGTGGGTGGGAGAGGCCCTAGTCAGTATGGGTTAAGTTGTTTGTTGGCTGGGGTGAGACAGAAGGTGAGACAGGGAGAGAGAGAAGGTGAAACAGAGAAGAGAGAGAGAGAGAGAGAAGGTGAGACAGAGAGAGAGAGAGAAGAGAGAGAGAGAGAGAGAGAGAGAGAGAGAGAGAGAGAGGGAGAGAGAGAGAAAACAGTTGTATTTATGAATGTTGTTGTTGTTGATTTTCTTAAGTGATGATTTTTTTATTGTTAGTGATGGTGATTATGGTGGTAATGGTGGTAGTTGTGGTGATGGTGGTAATTGTGGTAGTTGTGGTGATGGTGGTAGTTGTGGTGATGGTGGTAGTTGTGGTGATGGTGGTAGTTGTGGTAGTTGTGGTGATGGTGGTAGTTGTGGTAGTTGTGGTGATGGTGGTAATTGTAGTGATTGTAATGAGGTTGATGAATGGTAGTTGTTATCTTGTCTGTAGCGTCGATAGTGGTGATGGTAGTTGTAGCGATGGTTGTAGTCATGATGTTAATGGTGGTTGGAGTATCGGTAGTGGTAATGATGGCGGTAGTTGTGGTAGCAGTACAGTGACATCAACAAGGCTAATTGTAGAGAGTGACGAAGCGGAAGTGTGTGTGTGTGTGTGTGTGTGTGTGTGTGTGTGTGTGTGTGTGTGTGTGTGTGTGTGTGTGTGTGTGTGTGTGTGTGTGTGTGTGTGTGTGTGTGTCAGCAAATATTAAGCAACGTCAGAACAAATCAATGCATCATCTTTCCTCTCAGTATCAGCATTCTTGGTGTCAGCATCCAGGCGACTGTCAGCTGATGTTTGAATGACAGATTAGCTTGCTTCGTCAACCAAGAGGGGGAGAGGGTAATGGGAGAGGGAGGGAGAAGGGGTGAGGAGTTTTTAGTTTTTTTAGTTTAACAAATTTATTGACAAAGCTTGGAGTACAGTTTGCCTATTGTGAGTAATTCAGTCAGGTCTTGACACTGACGGTGGTATCACTTCATACTGCCACGCAGTGGCAAAGAAATACATCGTATTCATGAACAGTATATATATATATATATATATATATATATATATATATATATATATATATATATATATATATATATATATATATATACACACACACAGACAGAGAGAGAGCATTGCAAAAACCAGAATCAAACAGCATAAGTACAATATCAGAACAGCATCTGAAGGCAGTGCTCTGTTCGTTCACGTTAGGAATAATAATCATCCCATTGATTGGGAAAACAGCTTAGAGGTGTACAAATCATCATGTGTCACAGAAACACTTCTGGTTGAAGCTAGTTTGATTAGGGAATTAAATTCAATAAACCTTAGTGATGGTCAGTACAAAACTGATAATATGTTACATACATTTATTTGTCAGTGGCCCAAGGTTGAAAATGCTTGAAACCTTGGAGCTAGATGTAGGATAGATGATTAGTGGGTCCCATATTTTTGACCTGACTTAACTTGACTAGTCACGTCTCCCTTTCTCTTAAGCTCCTCTGCGTGTGTATTGGTGTTGGTGTGCAGATTAGTAGGTGGTCAGAGTAACGGGTTGAGGTGTTGATTGTATGTAGAAGTCCGCGTGCGATTGGGCTAATGAAATATATATGGATCCTAGTGTTTCGAAGCCGGATTTGGTAAAACGTTACTCTGACCACCTACGTGATACGGGTAGTCCCCATTAGAGGTTCACGGCGCCATAAGCTCGTTGAACAGGCTTTGTGTGAAATATAACAAAGTCTAGGACTGCTTTTAGTATCCTGGTGGTCCAGCGGTTAGCGTTCCCGGTCACACTCATGGGCTAGTGGGCTGGGTCTGAATCCTGGCGGGTTGAGGTGTTGATATGGAAGTCCGCGTGCTATTGGGCATTAAATATATATATATATATATATATATATATATATATATATATATATATATATACACTAGACAGTCTTGGACCCCCCCATGCCCTCCTCTCAGTCCCAGCCTCCATAAAATATCACAGTGTGAAGGTGTGGAACAACTATCCCCCACCCATCCGAGCAAAGACTACGCTCCCTTCCTTTAAATCATCTCTTAAAAAATATATATTGTCTAAGCATTAATATTTCTTGTAACGCCTACTATATTTACAGTACCTGCTTTTGTTGTACCATCAAAACCGTTTCATCGGAAATTATCATGTAAATAGATAAGTAATTACCATTGCAATAAACATAATTGCCAACTAGACATAATCCTGACAGCTCTGTCCTCTTGTTCAACCTTATTACTGTACAACCTATGTTGTACTGCTCCCCCATTATACTTATGTTTTTCAATTAATAAATATTGAAGTGATAATCGTGGTAACATTGAGATGTTCTTATTATCACCATGCTATTGTACTATTCCAGATGATACTAAATGTTACATAATACTTCCTTGAGATAAATGTATAGTATATATCAGGTGCCTAAAAGAGAGCTCAGGTTCTCAACTGGCTCAGCCATGTTAAAATTGTTATTATTATCCACTCTGTATCTGTGTTTTTTCCTAAATAAACTGTCTCAATTCAATTCAACATACACATACCTACACATATATACATAGATCAGATTCATGTGGGTGATGTCACTGTTCACTGCCACGCAGGACAGAGGTTCGTACACAAAGAAATGCATCATATTCATTAGCAGTATATATATAGGTCAGAGTCATGTGGGTGATGCCACTGTTCGCTGCCATGCAAGACAGTGGTTCATATACATTGGACGTCATATTCTAATTGAAGACTAATCAGTGTGGGCTAGCAAATTTGGGATACACAGCAAGAATGTCCCCAAGCACCCCCGATTCAATATAGTAATTACAAAGTTCATGATACAATAAGCCAGGTGGCCTGAAGTCTTTGACAGTGTCACATTCAATAATATAGTGTTCAAGTGTATGCTTTAAAGGTTTATCACAAAGTTTACATGCTGAGTGTTCCGGTATGGGTACAGCGTTACTAACTTGCCAGATGTGTCTGTATCCTAGCCTAATTCTGGCCACGACTACATCACATTGTCTGGTTCTGTCCTTATGCTGGCCATACCGGTACCTCTCGTCACAAAATTTGTCATATTTACTATTGCTACAACTGCCAGGTCTCTGCATTTCTTAATTCTTCTAGATCAGAGTTCATGATTCTGACTTGAATGTTTTTAAGTACAGCATTGGACAGGCCAAGGTCACGGTCAACATTTTCTTTCTTACATGCCTCATTGGCCAGTCTATCAGCACGGTCATGATACCTAATTCCAACATGGGACGGAATCCACACAAATTCGATACGAGAGTTGTTCTCATTGGCAGTTATCACATTTCTTTTAATATCACTTACAACTTTAGACATAGAGCCTGACGGGCTGTTCATTGATTTCAAAGCACTTTGAGAGTCACAAAATATCACCCCACCTCCATTTTCTTTAAGGTAGTCTGTAGCTAAGTATATTCCAGTTAGTTCAGTTTGTGTTGTGCTGGCCCAGTTGTTCAGCCTTTGCTTGTTTGACACTATCATCTCTTTTTCTTTATATATTACAATTGCACAGCCTGTTCTACCTGTGTTTGTCTGCACAGAACCACCAGTAAAAGCATAACATTCACTTGATTTAATACTCTCTATGTGTCTGTTAATAGTTTCTAGTGTGACACATCTCATCACATCGGTGTTTAACATTTGCTTACTACCAACAGGAGAGTAATTAATAGGAACTGATATATCCAGCCAAGGAGGAATGGCATTAATGGGTTCGTCTGGGGTGATTGGGACATTCAGTTTCAAGAGATCTGCAACACTTTTATGAAGCCACGCCCCAAAGAGTCTTTTGTGGAAGGTCGGCGAGATAGTTGGGATTACTTAGATAGAACATCAACTCAGTTTGAGCTGTAGTTTGGGGACCATTGTTCTTCAAAACTTTGACACAAAACATGGTATTAAGTAGAGCTATCCTCTCAGATAGGGAGGGCAGTCTGAGCTCTTTCCTCATGTTTACAATTCTGGTTGATTTTGGGCATCCTAGAATGATGCGCATGGCTTTATTTTGCACTACCTCAAGGCTGTTGAGTTGTTTAGGCGGAATAGTCACAAGATGGAGAGCATGATAGTCAACTACAGAACGAAGGAAGTGAAGATAGAAAATACGAGCATAGGTGATGTTAATTCCATAGCCCTTGCCAACAAGGGTTCTGAGGGGTTTAATGCTCTGCATTAGTTTGTCACGAAGGTTGCTGACAAAGTTTGCATCATTCACACAAATTCCAAGATATTTATAGGAGCTACATAGTTCCAAGGGCATGCTGTTAATGTTAAAGTCTAGATGCAGAGGGTGAGCAGGACGAAGATTGAGGACCCTCGTTTTGTCATCAGATATTATGAGACCACATCCCACAGTCCTCCGAGCAAATACATCCAGCAAGGCTTGGAGCCTGAGCTTGGTCTGTGTCATAATGCAGATATCATCAGCATAGCATATTACAGCCTCGTTTGGCTGAACTGGAATGTCAGCAATAAGCTTGTGCATCAGTATATTAAAGAGCGTTGGACTTAACACTCCTCCCTGAGGCGTGCCAAGCTCAAATGATCTCATTCTGGCACTTCTGACTCCCGTAAACAGAACACTGGCATACCTGTTGGACAGATATCCCTTTATCCATGTCAGGAGATTACCTTGGAGGAAAGGAGGTAATTTTGGTTTTGTCAAGAAAATATCAGTCGGAGTGGGTGGGTGGATAAGGAGTAGTTGAGGGAGAGGGAGGAGAAGGGAGAGGTGGATGAGAGGGAGGAGAGAGAAGGGGTAGGAGAGTCACCATGGTAACTTCTGGTGAGGGGAGCATATCAAAGAGTAGCCCTCCCTCCTTCCCTCCCTCCTTCCCTCCCTTCTTCCCTCCCTCTTTCCTCCTTCTCTCCTGCATACCTTCCCATACTGTTCTCCCCTTTGTGTACTGTATGTTGTGGTGGTAGTGGTGGTGATTGTGGTAGTGGTCGTGATAGTGGTAGTGGTCGTGATAGTGGTTGCCAGAACGGAAGTTTTGTTAAGTAGTTCCCACACTGGAGCCACTACCACCCACCACCCCTCTCTTCATCTACCACCCACCACCCCTCTCTTCATCTACCACCCACCAACCCTCCCTTCATCTACCACCCACCAACCTCCTTCATCTCCACCAACCCCTTCATCTACCACCCACCAACCCTCCCTTCATCTACCACCCACCAACCTCCCTTCATCTACCCAAACCCTTCATCTCACCCACACCTCATCTACCACCCAACTTCATCTACCCCACACAACCCTTCATCACCACCCACCAACCCCTTCACCCCCAACCCCTTCATCTACACCCAAACCCTTCATCTACCCCACAACCTCCTTCATCTACCACCACACACCCAAACACACCACACAACCCCCACTCCCCACCTTTCCCCACCCACCAACCCCCATCCACCCCACAGCCTTCATCCTAGAGCCCTTCATCTACCCTAGAGCCCTTCATCTACCCTAGAGCCTTCATCTACCCTAGAGCCCTTCATCTACCCTAGGGCCCTTCATCTACCCTAGGACCTTCTACTCACTCTGGTCTCCAGGTAGACTCCTTTACCTGGACAGTTAATGAATTGGTTCTCGTTGAGGTAAATGATGACGTGTATGTATGTATGTATGTATGTATATATGTAAGTACGTCGACCGTCAGCCTCCCAGCGTGCCTCCTCAATAGCGTGTCTGTGAGTGACTGTCTGTCTCCCAAGATTACCCGTGTCTCAATATTATGCTTCACGCCACGGCCAACTCGGCTCCCAAGCCTCGCCTCTCTCCCGAGTTCCACCATTATACAAATTCGTTTTCTTCTTCACAGTGTAGCACTAAACTCTAGAATTTACGGTTTTATTATATAGTTGTGTGTTTTTGTTTCTTTCTGTCCAGTTTTCATTGGGTGTGAAGGATAAACAAGGGAAACCGTAAGCTGTGTGCCCTTGTGTACGAGTGCGTGACTGCGCATGCGTGTGTGTGACTCATGAATGGGGCCCCCAAAAGGCTGCCAATCGATTTCGACAGGGTGAATCCGTTATATTTACCCCGTTTTTTCTCTCTCTCCGTAAAGTTTACATGATATTTGAAAAACATTTCTTATTACTAAACACATATATGTTATTTATTTATGGTTCAGAAGCAGTAATAGGGTCTAGCTGCTGACAATGAAGAGAAATTTTATCTTTAGCAACTCTGCCGTTCTAGTCCCACACTCCCGCCATTCACAAGACAGACGCGACGTTGTGCAAGTTTCCCTTCCCCCTCCCCCTCCCCCTCCACACTGGCCACGTGGGTTCTAGTAGGTTATAATTGGCACCGCTTCGATTTAATTTAGCAGTTGGCCTGTTGATACAACTGAAACGGCAAAAACCACACACACAAACACACACACATACATACATACACACACTGCTTGTACCCCCATTGTTTTGGACCCAAGAGTGAGGTGGGGAGGATGGGCGGGCTTAAGGTACACATGAACACACACACACACACACACACACGCGCGACAAGAGTGTACAGAGCTCGTCACCAATGAAATTCCAGCATCAAAATGAACAACCAATTACATTCCGGTATTTAGTCAGTGTTGGAGAGACGGAAATTAAGGAAGAGTATATCCGTTATACTGGGTCTCTCCATGACCTCCCAGGACGCAGATAACAGGTTTTCCGGTAGTCCTCTACGAGATAACACTCTATCAGTTTATCAGTTCTGGTGTATGAGTCTCAGCCTCGGCAGGAGGGAGGAAGGAAGGGAAGGAGGGAGGGAGGAAGGGAGGAGAGGAAGGAAAGGAGGGAAGGAAAAGGGAGGGAGGAGAGGAACGGAGGGAGGAAGGGAAGGAAAGGAGGAGAGGAAGGAGGGAAGGAGAGGAAGGAAGGAAGGGAGGGAGGAAAACTAGAGCAGTAAGGGAAGGAGAGGAACTGAAGGAAAGAGAAAACGGAGGAGGAAGAGGAGGAAAGGGAAATAAATACAAAACTCTCTCCCTCCTCCTTCCCTCCTTCCTCCCTCCTTCCCCTCCCTCTCTCCTCCTTCCCTCCTCCTTTCTCTCCTCCTTCCCTCACAGGTATAATGACACTGTACAGGTAATTTATCTGTAATTAAGAATAGCATTGCAATTAGCGTTGGAGAGGGAGGTGTGGGAGGAAGAGGGAGGGGGAACAGAAGGGAGGGGAAGAGGAGGGAAGAGGAGGGAACAGAAGGGGAGGGAAGGGGGAGGGGAACAGAAGGGAGGGGAACAGAAGGAGGGGAAGAGGGAGGGGAAAGGGAGGGGGA